AAGATATAGTCCAATTGCAAAAACAAGATCCTGAAATTAAGAAGCTGCTAAAAGATGGAAAACACAAAACAGACCTCATCACTCGACATACATCTGGACTAATCATGACAACAAAAGATAGTCATGAAAATACTGATAACGATACCTTGATTCCAATATTAGTGATTCCAAACATATTGCGAAGAGAGTTAATCCAACTGGCTCATCAACAAGGACATTTTGGATTCCAAAAGACCCTACAAAGGCTAGCTACGGTAGGATGGTGGCCTGAGATAATCCGAGATACTGAGCACTTTATTAACAACTGTTTAAGATGCGCCCACAATAATCCTGATATAAGGATAAAAAAAGGACCTCTACTTCATCAACCGGTAGATGGCCCATGGATTCGAGTGCAGATAGGACCCTTACCTAGAACTAACCGAGGAAATGTATACTGCCTGGTGGTAATAGATCCATTTACCAAGTGGATAGAAGGGTACCCAACTAGGAATTGCACTGCAGGTGCGACAGTAAAATTACTGTTAGAAAATACGTTCAGTCGATTCGAACTACCTCGGATTATTGATTCCGATCAAGGCACGCACTTTACCAGTGAATTAACTAAACAATTGTGTATAGCCTTAGGAATACACCAAAGATTTCGTGTAGCTGGTCACCCACAAGCTTCTGGGTTAGTAGAAAGATCAAACCGCACTTTAAAAACTGCACTAAGGAAGGTAATTGATTCATCAGGAAAGAATTGGGACAGACATCTACCTCTCATCCTGACGGCAATCAGATCCGCAGCGAGCGTCCATGGATTCACTCCGTATGAAGCGCTTTTCGGAAGACCTACGGTAACGCCTGAGCAATGGTGGATGCCAGGAGGGGTGCCACCGGACGAGTATAGACCTAGAGCGGTGACGGACAATTACATAAAATCAGTGTTAAATACCATATCAGAGGTGCAAAGGGCAGTGGCGGTTAATTTAAAAGGAAATATTCATAAGATGGATCAAAGACTGAACAACAATTTAAAACATTTAGAGTGGAACATAGGGGATCAAGTTCTCTTGAAGTATTTTTCTGAAAAGAACCATCCATTGAGCCCAAGATGGGTTGGACCAGTAACTGTCATCAATAAAGCCAGTCCAACAACTTATCAACTAGAATTGAAGACCGGAAAACGTAAAGTACAAAAGTGGTTCCATAGCTCACTATTAAAATTATGGAAAGGAAACATCTGTACTAATCCCTCTAGAACAGAAAGTAATAGGACGAGTGATGAAAAACCACCATAAGGATCAACTAATTGTCTTGTTTTCATCCACAGGATGCTGAACAAAAGAAATATGAAGACTACTGGAAGATTTCTGATGTACATAGTTATAACTTGGTTAAGTTTAAGTTTAATAATTAAGAAAAATGAATACTGGATATGCGAGGCACACAGAAAACTATCTTTCATGCATGACCAAGGGAAGGAATTGGAAACACAAAAGGAAAATGAGGAATATGTCAATGAAAGAACTAACACTCAAATGAGAGGAATGGCACCATCTGAAGCTCCTACAAAGCCATTTCCAGAGAATATTTACAGACGCCGGAGGAAACGGGATCTACCACCAACTTTCAATGTAACTCTGAAAGGAAGTAAATTCTTTCCTATTAAGATGAACAAATATTTAGGGTGTCAGGTTAACCCACAAATAATATATCAATGGAGGATAAAATCTCACCAAATGCAAGACGACCTCAAAACCAAGGAAAACAAGAAAGCTCTACAAAAAGTAGTACAACAAAGGTACCTCCAGCGACTACTAAAAAACAGTTAAAGTTTTCAGAATCGGATATCACGGAAGAGGGAAAAGAGAGGCAAACGATCATAAAAATTGGGAATGGGTAACCCTTAGAGCCTGTAAGGTCATGAAACGTTGCTACCTAGATGTTTTTGAGTATTCTCAGAATCAGTCGGTTATATTACCTGACACTGTTACCACCCACAACCCAGTACAGCGTTTCGGACCTATACGTCCAGGATATGGTTGTACCTGGAGTATGCCTGAAGTGACGTTTGCCAACTGCCATAAAGACCTTTATCAATGTGTCGCATTTGACATCTTATCTCCTTCTTTAGTTAAACCCGGAAAACTGAACATATCAATAAAAATGTACCATCAACAGACCCATATAGATTTTGTAAATATTTCCATAAAACCTCCTAATCAGAATACTACTATATTAAGATTAACCTGTAATTCCTCTTTGTTGGGCTATAACATTTCATTGAAACAACATACTACTTCAAGATATTGTATATCGGACAATGACATGAATAAATTCAGGGAATTGTGTGTAACTAAATTATACTATAAATGTTATGGTCAATCATTCTGGACTATGGACTGTGAGAGGCCCGCTGGAGTTTGAATATACAAAGGAAATACATGTGGTAACGCCACCTCCCATTTATCATGTAGGACCACTAACCATTAAAAAGGACGTAACCAGAACTTTAATGATAGATCCTCAATATTCAATCAAAAGGATTATCATACCTCTACAATTATCTAGAACATCAGTATATAATCAATGTGCCCTATATACAGAGCCAGTTTTAGTAGGATGGAGAGCCTGGGTTCAAGGAGTACTCCCTCCTTCTTCCAACTCGTCTACTAGGCAGAAACGTGATTTAGTGGCAAAGGTGCTAGGGAGAGCTGGAGCTGGATTAAGCGTATTAAACACAGTAGACCAACACATACTAGCAAATCGAATTGGTCAGGTAGGTCATGATGCCGCCTCCCTTGCCGAACCACTGACGTCTGCATTTCACGCTTTAGGAACTACAACATTTGATATCACTAAAATTCTTCCGTATTGGCTTAAAATTCAAGAGCAAGACCACCCGCGAATACTGGGAGCGTTAAATATTCTCCAATCTAATATCTCAGAAGCCCTAGCATGTGTAGAAGCTCAGCAATGGTTGATAACGGTAGCCAAGGTTATCATCAGAGATGGTTTTAACCAGCAGCTACCTTTGGAATTGAAGAAAACCATCTACGAGGACGCCAATGATTTTGAGAAAATACATCACCAATGGTGGCAATTATTGACGTTCACTTACTGCCAG